ACTAATGAGCTTTTTACAACCTCACTCTTCTAGAAATGTGAAAGAATTGTGTGTGCTCCTGTGTCTTACAGGCAGGCTAAACAGAGGTGTAGAGCAATTAAAATGTTCTGCACTTTTTTATTAGCTTTGATAAGCGACTAGGTTATGAAGCAGGAACTTACATTTTTTTGGACAATCGTTTTTTTTTAGTCTTGTGTTTTTGAGGGCTCGTTCACTCAACAGAGCTTTTTGCAGTGGTGAATATTTTTTACATGTTACGATGCATTGGTGTGTCTTTTTTTTGTCGTCACTTTTTTGTGTATCAAATGTTACAATGCTTTGTTACAGTTATTACTCCAGCTGGCCACTGACACCAAGGCATTTATTACTGCAGCTGGTGGCTGACACCAAGATATTTATTACTTCAGCTGGCCACTGACACCAAGGCATTTATTACTCCAGCTGGCCGCTGACACCAAGGCATTTATTACTCCAGCTGGCCGCTGACACCAAGTTATTTATTAATCCAGCTCGCTACTGACACCAAGGTATTTATTACTCCAACTAGCAACTGACACCAAGGCATTTATTACTCCAGCTGGCCACTGACACCAAGGCATTTATTACTCCAGCTGGCCGCTGACACCAAGGCATTTATTACTCCAGCTGGCCACTGACACCAAGGCATTTATTACTCCAACTAGCAACTGACACCAAGGCATTCACTATTCCAGCTGGCCACTGACACCAAGGTATTTATTACTCCAGCTGGCCGCTGACACCAAGGCATTTATTACTCCAGCTTGCCACTGATACCAAGGCATTCATTACTCCAGCTTGCCACTGACACCAAGGTATTTATTACTCTAGCTGGCTGCTGACACCAAGGCATTTACTACTCCAGCTTGCCACTGACACCAAGGCATTCACTATTCCAGCTGGCCACAGACACCAAGGCATGTATTACTCCAGCTCGCCGATGACACCAAGGCATTCATTACTCCCAACTAGTCACTGACACCAAGGCATTCATTACTCCAGCTGGCCACAGACACCAAGGCATTTATTACTCCAGCTTGCCACTGATACCAAGGCATTCATTACTCCAGCTTGCCACTGACACCAAGGTATTTATTACTCTAGCTGGCTGCTGACACCAAGGCATTTACTACTCCAGCTTGCCACTGACACCAAGGCATTCATTACTCCAGCTTGCCACTGACACCAAGCCATTTATTGCTCCAGCTGGCCACTGACACCAAGGCATTTATTACTCCAGCTAGCCACTGACACCAAGGCATTTATTACTCCAGCTCGCTACTGACACCAAGGCATTTTTTACTCCAGCTGGCTGCTGAAACCAATGGCATTTATTACTCTAGCTTGCTACTGACACCAAGGCATTTATTACTCTAGCTTGCTACTGACAGTCTGACACCAAGGCATTTATTACTCTAGCTTGCTACTGACACCAAGGCATTTATTACTCCAGCTGGCCACAGACACCAAGGCATTTATTACTCTAGCTTGACATCGACACCAAGGCATTTATTATTCCTACTGACCACTGAGGCCAGGTCGTTTATTACTTTAGTTGGCCACTGACGCCAAGGCATTTATTACTACAGCGGGGTCACTGCTGTGCTGTGAGTTCAGCCGACTGACGCAGAGCTACGTATCCAGCATAGGAATCCGCACGGGTCCAGGAAGAGTCTAGAAGGGGCACGAGGAGTAGCTTTTTCTGTCACAATCCATGTGAGGAAAGAAAAAGAAGGGGAGGGGCGTGTCACAATCCCATGGAAGCGGGTTCAAATAAATTGTTGCCTGCTTAACCATTCTTATTCTGCTTGTATGGACCTGCACAGTAGAACTCCATGTTCAATTACTGGGTGCAAATGCACAAACTTGAGATGGATGGATAGATAGATATTTCTTGTAAGCTTTACGAAAGCTTTTATAGGAACATGACACCAGACATTGAGGAACAGTATGAACAAGCGAAGTCTGATTTTGTTCTTGGACTTAATGTTTCTAGTTTCCATGGGGACAGTACGAGTTTACAGCCACACAGAAAAACTTTTGCAGAGGCACAGATTTTTTATTACAGAGTAGTTTTGTTTGAACATTCTGCCTTTTACCACGCATTATTTGTCTGTGTCTGCCACACAATCTCGGTGGAAAATATGTAATTACGGTTTGTTAAAACGTCGCCAATTGAAGAGTCGTGTGAGGTAAACTATTTGTAATCGCCTGTCGTCGATAGCGCATTTTGTTTCCATAGCACATCCGTCCCCAAAATGGCTGCCCGTGTCATCAATCCCTCGGCAGGAAGCTTCCTCATCTTTCGGGCGAGGCGAAAACCTTTTTAGTTTCTCATTTTTTAATGCAGCTTAAAGTCCAGCCTGCCTGAAAGAAAATGAAATGTCAATATGATTTATAAAACTATTAGAAGACGTTCTGGTGCTGCCCAGGTGTACAAGTACGGAAATAGCTGTGGGCCTTATTTAAAGATCTCTGCCGAGGTGCAGATCAGTTTCGCTGGAGGCTACAGTATTTTTGCTGTACACACCAAGGTCTGGCTGCTTCTGAAATGTGTTTGAGAGTTAGATGAAAAACGTAAACTGATTATATGGAAATGAAAACAATAAAAGGATTCCGATAATAAAGTGAACCTTTCCATTCCTCAAACATGTAAACATAATGTCACCGTCATAATCCGCTATTCAACATCAAACACATGTCTACTGCTTGCAAAACATGCCATGGCATGGAATTATGGGTAGAATAAGGAAGGGTTAGAGGCAGATGCATGATGGTATTTGTAGTTTCACCGCAGAGGCAACAGAGTTTGCCTACCTCACTTTAGGGATACAGCATTAGGTCCGTCAGTATTTGGCCACGTGGCCATACACCCAGTATGGGGCATTTTATTAGGGCTGCAGTTCCATTTGAGGTGCATTACTGCGTTGGGCTGATTTTGGGCCTAGATTGTTCTTAAACCAGGCTGTCATGAGCCCACCCCCTGGGGGGACATGATAATGCCAACCTGGGCTCAGATTACTTCTCAAAGAATAATTGCATTATCACCAGCTTTTTATAGCATTACATTTTTCATTATGTGGCATGTTTTAAAGCAGTTTATTCAAGTATAAACAAATTAGGGTTTAAAATAAGCTAGTGAAATAGGTGCAGGTCCACCGAAAGAGAAGTGCTAAGGTCTGCAACGTTGGCCACTCACTTTATTGGAGATTATATAGAGCAGGGGCGGCCAAGATTTTTTGTCTGGAGATCTTCTTTTCAAATGACTAGCTCAATGAGATCTACCAATGAAAAAACACATGCATTCAGGGGCGGGAGGGGGCGTGGTGGTGCATTGAAGTCAATGGCACTGCAGCCATGCCCCCCGCAGTGCGGTCGCCCACACCCTTAATGCAGGCACATTAGTGACTGCGTTGCGGTCCAGTGCGATCTGCAAAAATGTTGTTTTTGCAGATCGCACTGGACTGGTACGCAGGCACTAATGTGCCTGCATTAAGGGTGTGGGCGACCGCACTGCGGGGGGCATGGCTGCAGTGCCATTGACTTCAATGCACCACCACGCCCCTTTCAGGGACCCGGCTGTCTTGCGCTCCAGTGCATTCTAGAGGCCGAACACTCTGGAACGCAGACATTGTGGTGTGAACCGACCCTCTCTCTTGGCTGTCTCTTCTCTCTCTCCTCGCTCTCTCCCCTGTTTCTATCTACTGTCTCTACTCTCTCTCTGATGTCTCTTCTCTCACTTTCTCCTGTCTCTTCTCTCACTTTCTCCTGCCTCTTCTCTCTCTCTGCTGTCTCTTCTCTCTCTCTGCTGTCTTTCTCTCTCTCTCTGCTGTCTCTCCTCTCTCTCTCTGCTGTCTCTTCTCTCTCTCTCTGCTGTCTCTTCTCTCTCTCTCTGCTGTCTCTCTTCTCTCTCTCTGCTGTCTCTTCTCTCTCTCTCTGCTGTCTCTCTTCTCTCCCTCTGCTCTCTTCTCTCACTTTCTCTGCTGTCCCTCTCCTGTCTGTCTTTTCTTACCGCCACTGCAGCAGTTTTCCAGATCTCCTCTCGTGTGTCGGCGTCCTGTCTTCCCGCGGTACTCGTGTGGCCGACGTTGCACAAGGACGGAGGTGCCCCGCCCCTTCCCGTCTGCGGCGTCTGACACATTCAATAAGTACTATCCTTGTCGCACTCCTTACCGATATGTCCCTTGTAGTGGGGGATGCTCGCAGTGACCGCGGATGGCGCCGCGAATGTCAGCAATTGTAGAAATGTTACCAGCACACCAAGGATTAAAAGGATTGGTGTGCTGGTGACATTTCTACAATTGTCTGACACATTCAGCCGCACGAGCACTGTGGGAGGGCAGGACATCTATCTCACTCCTAACCATATCGATCTAGATACTTATTGAAGATGCCCATAGGATGAACTTCATCCAGTGACACAATATCACTCTATTGAGCTTGGAATGATGGCTACTTTACAACACACACAGGCACCATAGGGAACAAAAGTAGCCACCCTCCAGAAGGAAGGACAGTGTCGGCACCAATTCAGAGATGATTTGGGGATCTATAACCGAGTGATACATAACAGTTAGGGTACTTGAATGCATTTTCAAGATTTAAGCCCTGAGTTTAGTGTCACTTTAAGATTGCTACTGTAATAATCTTTTGAACAGTGATTGAGAGTTTGGAGGAACAGTTGTATCTTTCTGCTCTATGTCAGTGTGTTTGTGTAACTAGCATGGTAGATCACTTAAACAGCGATAAGACTATATGTTATCGAGCTGAGCAAAGTGCCCGCTTTGCTGTGGTTTGATGTCCAGCGGTAGTTTGACTTGCTGTTTAATTTGTGATATTTATACAGTGGGTTTGTATATTCCTTTTGGATTAAATCGCTGGAATGTTTACTTTGCCCTGAAAAGCTGCACATATTTTTAGCAGTCTTTGTTTACCTAGAAGTCCTTCTTCTGCCGAACTTCAGCTCCTTTGTCATCGTGCAGGCACAGCAATCTGAGCGTCAGGCCGAAGGGACTGTCATCACTCGTGAAGAGAGGGGGTGTACCCGAGGCGTTAAGAGCAGAAGTTTGGCAACTGCTTGCTGGCTGTCACGAGGACCAAGAAATGCTGGACAAGTACAAGAACCTCATCATAAAAGTAGGAGTGCTTTCAAATGTCCTTTTGTGCATTTTGCTGTCATTGGTTTATTGTGTGTGTTCCTTTTTTTACATCATGTTGACACATAAACAGATACTTTTTAGTGTTTGTTTTGTAGTTTTGATGAAAGTGTAATACACTGGGCATGGTGCACTAACCTTCGGTATCACTCAACATGTGCTAAAAGTGGCAGATATCAGTATAATTGTTTGTTGTATCCGTGAAAGTATAACATAATGGGCATAATCCATAAAGCTGCAGTATTACATAACACATGCTGAAAGTGGCATGTCGAACAGTCCTGTCACATCTGATAATATTGATTCATTCATCAACCATGGAAAGATTTCAGATAATATTCATGGTATGCGCAGCTCAAAGTACATTGTCAGGAAGATTGCAGACAGGCAGGTAAGAATTGTTTATTGCAGAAGAGACATGGTATGTGTGTTCTGCAGTTAAAAGCCTGCTTGCTCGTAAATTGTGTGTGAGGGGTAAAATTCCACTTAAAAAGAGAACTATGGGGTAAGTGTTTTTCGCCATAGTTCTCTTTAGGGTCACGGGAGGGCATATACTAACCTCCTCCCGTGACCGAAAGCTCAGCATATCGCGGGCTATTGCCCGTAGTATACTTATAGCGCCGCAGCCGGGAAGGATCCCGACAATACTGGCGAGATCCACCCAGCTGCGTCAGTGACAGAACCGTTCGTTCCTCCACATAACGCTGGAGGCTCGGAGAGGGGATGTGGGGTATCCCTGTGGGGAGCGGTGACTAATAGTCACCGCTCACTGCAGGGAGACGATCGGGAAGTGAGCGCATCAGTGCATGTTTCTGTTCACTTCCCGATCGATGGAGGCGACATGTGACAGCTTCTTTGTCACAGGTCGGCTATAACTATGAGGATCAGTGGAAATCACTCACCTCATACTTCTCCTTTAATTTATCCCAGCACCAAGGCATGCCGAGATTGTACACTGAGCTGTGCATACACAGCTCAGTGTACATTCTAAATAGGTTCATGAGCAGGAAGGTAAAAAGCTTTAAAGTAGAATTGTTTTTTTTGCCATCTCTGTCCCATTGGGGAGATTTCTTTTCACTTCCTGTCTTAGGGCCTCTACAGGAAGTAAGCAGACATACCTCCGAGGAGAGGAATTTCCTCAGTGATCAGCAGGCAAACCAGAACTAACGTCCCCATTGGAAGATTTCCGATCTACTCCTGGTTTGATTACAATCCAAAGATTGGGATTTTCTTTCACTTTAATTGATAACGGCCATCAGGACAAAAAGAAAGGAAGAATATCCCTAATAGGGGCACAGACAGCAGCAAAAACCAGACAGGTCTCCTAATCCCTCTCCACTCTATCCAAAACGAACAAAAAAGTTTTGTTTTTGATTGCACTTTAATTTCAGAAGAGACAGGCTTTACAAATATAGTGGGGGGAATTTATCAAAACTGGAGCTGACGCCCATAGCAACCAATCGGCTTCTCTCCTCAATTTGTTCAGTTAAACTTTGAAAATTAAAGCTGTCTGCTCCAGTTTTGATAAATTCCCCCCACAGTGTTTTTAAAAGTGAAGTTCCTTTTGATAAAAAAAATATGGATGAACAATGCATTGGACTGTAGTCTGTAGCGGAACAAACGTGCATCCTGGGGTGACAAGACTGCTCCTGCATAGACGCACACTAAGGGAGCGCTATCATCACCCTAGACCGGATCTACAGTTCAAAAATGAGGAAAGGAGATTGTATAATCTAATTATAATGAGTGTAGTGAGCTTAAACAAGCATTCAACCCTTGCTGGGTGTGTGGTGTGTATTTTATGGGCTGACTGGAGTTAAGTGCACCCAAAAGCAAAAAAGCACAGCCTTTAAATAAAATCTACATTGAGTTCCTTTTTTATGCTGTCAGCCCATCCGCAGAGAACGTATGTCAGAAATGTGAAAGGAACAATCTCAGTGCAGAAAAATGGAGTGTGACATGTATCTGTTCCTCCGCCTTTCAGCTTTGTGTTCAAATAACAGACAAGCAGCTCGGTGGCAGGCAAGCAGGCGCATTGAGCAGAGTTTAGTGGAGAAAGACAAGCATTATTCCCAGAGACATAACAAGATCTTCTTTCCCACATGTGGTACCAGTGCGCCGTGACACAGACCATTATGCAGTTTGTCTTTCATTTGCCAGGGCTCAGTGTGTGAGAAGCACCATTCCTCTGGAATCATTTTCACAGACGTCAGATCAGCACTGTGCTTGTTTAAGCTGTTTGCGTTGCTCCGCTTAGGATTTCACGTTGAAATGTTTTGATGTTAAGTGAAATGTCATGTGTAGTGAAATGTTTGGTCTCTATTTCCCATTCAGGAAGATTTTGCAGGGTTGTATATCCGGCATACACTGTATTAGTGGGAAGAAGAAATATGGATGCTGATGTATGAACATGGGGAAAAGGAAAACTCTTTTTGTTGCCTGTAGGAAGCAATCAGATACTAGCCAGAGGGAAATAAAGGGGGGCTCCAGTTCGGTCTTCAAAGTGAACCAACACGAAAGGCCCAATTGTCAAAGCTTTATATTTTAACTAAACCCAAGTACAGCAGGTTAACAAAACACAGCCTTTTCTTTTTTTCACCCGGGGATCCTGCCAGCAACATACTTCCTGTGCTAGGGTGTCAACTATCACTCATTGTACTATATAATTTCTGTATCATAACTATGATCAATCAATCGAATTACAATCATTTTTACAATAGTTTCATCATTACATCATCATTACAATAGTTTAAAAGTTAAAGTAAACCTTTCGAGCCCTAAAGGAAATGAAGAGGCTGCAGGAGTACAATGCAGATACCTAATGGTGGCTGTACATGACTAAGGTCAGGTCCCGTTACAGTCAAAACTTCTGAGGCCACCCAAACCTCCCTCCATCTCCCCAAATAAATCAGGCCACAGTTCCAATGGAGTTAAGTGGTCATAGCAGCCTTTTATTATAGAATTAATACAACTAACAGAATTATAAATTCAGCAAATTAAAAAACACACAGAAATACCTAGGAAAAAAGGTTGCAGGTATTTGAAGGCCAAAATATATACTGATATGTTGTCTCTGCAGAACTACTAAATATATTAGGCCCCCACTTGCATCACACCACCTCCGGGACAACATCCAAACTGACCACAGACACATCTGTATTTAAATTTCCTGTTCATTACCATATAGGTCACCATGAATTAACCATGAATTAAGGGCACCATACCAAGACAGGTCACCAAACATTACCCACCAGCACCTATTTTAGCTGCCTTCAAAGACCCCAAACTGTGAACACTGCTATGACATTGAAAAAACACAACTGACGAAAACAAACAGGGTGGATTGGGTGAGAAGTTCTCTCTTCCTCCAATTATCTATGACTGATCCAGTGAGACCCTCCTCCTCAGGCCATCACTGATGCTTCATTTAGCCTTTGACCACTGACCAATCAAGTATGTGACCCTGCCCTAATGCCAAAACCCCTAATTAACCACTCTCTTCCTTATATTTCCTTATCTCCCCTATTCACCTTAGTCATGTAAGCCCTTCACCTATTTTTTTTTTCTCTGGGCCTAACTTTTCCTTTAAAGATCTCGTCCAACTCCCTGGGGGACCCAGTTCCTGATTCACACAGGTTATGCTTACTTTGACACTTTCTGGTATTCTCAATTTTTCTGTAGGTCTCTCACTATGATGGGGAGCTTTACTGGTGCCATGCAGGTGCAGGAAGGGCAGTCTTTTAACACTATCAAGAAATGTCAAAGCTAATGTATGAAAGAGGCTCTAAAGCATAGGAGGAGCTACACTGGAGGGCTTATCTTAAACATGTGGTTTGCCCTTGCAGAGCAAAGCAACAGGTTTAATTTAGTGTTGGCTTGGCCAACAGCACATACTCCCTTCCCTTTGCTTCCCAGCTACCCTGTATAACCCTTAAAAGAGATGAAAATACCTGGTACTTCTGGGTAAGGAGAACCATGTGGTTTATTCCACTTCCTCCCAAATGACAGCTCTGGTGCTTGGTTAGTGATTGGCCACTCTGGTTCAAGGAAGTGCAGCTGGTAGTGCACTGAAGCCATCATTAAAGTGAACCTGCTGCTTTTCCCTTCATAGACAATGCACAAGTTAATTTTAATGTACGTGTAGGCACCACTAGGTTGAATTGCATTGATTCACCCTGTAAAGTGCTTTATGACACTGACAGGCAAGAGAGATAGCGACTAGCAATAGCAGAGAAAGAGGGAAACAGAATATGAGATCAAGAGAAAGAATACAAAGCAATACATCAGGAAACAAGAGGCACCAATCCCTTTTAATTCATTATTTTCCTTTGCAAAGCACCAGCATACAGTATTATGCAATGATGTAGGTTTGATGAAGGGGAGCGAATTATAAACTCCAGACAAAAGCAAGTCCACAGACATGACGAAGCACTTTACATAGTTCGGTCTGATCATTATTATTCCTACTGTATCTTTCTCTTTTACTGGCATTGTCTCTCTCTTGCCTCTCTTATTCGCTTTCTCTGACTGCCCCACTTTTCTCTCTGTTTGTCTCAATAGTTTTTTAGTATTGGAGATCTATACTTTTTTTTAATACAATCTAAGTTCTTTAGTGTCATTTTGTGAGCACTCTGCATTAGACTGTCCCTCGTCTAAAATCCCTTAATCCCTTTTTAGCTTATTAATCTTTTTCATGTAGTGCCACACGGCTGGTTACGTTGTTAGTGGGGCATAGAATATCGTTATTGCCCCAATTTGATTGCTGCATTCTCAGCACTTAACAAAACTGATGGGAGCTGACAGTGGTGCTGATTACTGCTGCCTTGAATAGAAAGGGATTGTGTGAATGCCAATGCAGAGATCTGCTGTCTTTAGACGGGTTATGGACTTCTGCATTACAGTGTGCCTCCAAAATGGAAATATTGTGGGCTGACTGCAAGATTGGGCAGTAACCCACATGAAAAAGGGTCCACAAACCAT